TTGTTCTCTCAAAGGTATTTTTCTTTCACTCAAGAAGTGGTGTACTGACATTTTGAAACCAAGAGGACAAAAAGATGCAAGATACAGCACATAGAAGCTATTGATACTTATTTTCAAGCTTCTTCATACCTTTCTAATCTGAAGGGAGGGTGATTACTACTGTTGGAAAAACCAGAATACCAACTTTCATCAACTGTTTGATAAGTTTTCAAATGGGTCCTTCTATGTTTTTCCCCATGAATCCCTGAATAAAATGATTACCAGCATCATCAAATTCACTCTTTTCCATACTAATGCACCCTGGAGAATCTATTTTGCCTTCAATTCTTACCCACCACCATCTTGACAAGACACAGGCTGTGATCATACCTATAACACTAAACACTATTGTCTCCTTGAGCTTCTCCCAGCTATGTTCTATTTATACCTTGAAAAATCAGCATTAAAAAAACAAATCTAAGACTTGACCACCATGACATTGTTTCATACTCTTACCCACGCACCTACAGGCACTCCTGAATACCCTAGATACGCTGCCAGTGTCTAGTTGCCCTGCCTAAATCTGAGTTCAGTCCATTGGATTGCTCTGCAAAGCTAATTCACAAGTTTTATGGATGTGTTATGGAAAGGAATGAAAGCAAAGGAAAAAAACTTCAGAAAACATGAGAACTTTTGCTTGGAAGAGCATAGTCAGCAATACCAAGTTGTTTGACCTATTCATTAATTAGAAAACTTTTGTATCTTGAAGGGATACAAAAGTTGGTTGATACTGGTATGAAAATCCTGTCTGAAAGCCAGTAGCAGAAAAAGTGGAAATCAGTTATGACTTTGATGTCTGGATCACAACTTGTAAATCCAGACAGCTCCAGGTAATCCAGGAAAGAGAGCACAGGACAGTGAAACATGACACATTCACAAGAAGCCCAAGTGCAGGTGCTCCTTGATCCAGCAGCAAATTACTTAGGTCAGTTTACTAGCTTAGCTTTGGCTTCTTTGGTGTGACATTTCAGAAAAGGAGGCAGGTACAAGATAAGAAAGTAGTCCAGTTCAACTGCATGTATTTCAAGGATGAAGTTGATTCAGATTGACACAGCAAACTTCCCTCTCCAATTTGACCCACAAATGAATTGAAAACAGGAAGCAATCTGTTTTGGTTATGCTCCAGAGAATTTTTCAGTTGTTGACCGGCCCATAGTCAGAGACTCCTGCATGTGCCTACCTTTAGGTAGATTCTGGAGCACTTTAGAAAGAACAGTCCAAATACCTGCCAATTATTATTGCACTAATTACTGTGAAACTGGAAATATAAGGGAAACTCCCTTATAAAATTCAGTACTGTTGAGTGTTTCAAGGTCAGTACCATATTGCACTGCTAAGGAAGCTGAAAGCTGAAGTGTTGGGTTGCCTACTGAAAAAACAAAGGTGCAGGAACAAAGGAAAACTGTAACTGTAACTGTAACAATCTAAAGTCTGCATGGTTTCAAGGCTGTTTGCATCCTACTGTTTCACAATACTCCCCTGGATAATAAGTAATGACAATTTCATTTTTAACTCTAATATTTTAAATTGCCTGATGCTGCTTTGAAAGTGAATATTATTAAAGGGCATTGTAAAGCAGGGTCTGAGTCTCACTTGCATTCACCTGGAGCACCACTGCACCATTCCTAATTGGGATTTAGTACTGCTTACTTGTTTTTTATGAACAAGTTCCATGGTAAGTATGGAATTACTGTTGTATTACCTAGCCTACTGTACTGTCCCTCAAGCTGCTATAAAATAACAAGCTTATGTGCTCTGTGTTGCCTTGCAGTCTCTCAAGCCCTCCAAGACTGAAATAAATTTAGAGAGGACAACTTGCTGTACTGCTTGGGAGGAAAGGCTATGGTTTCACACATTCCCCCACCCTGCTCCTGTGTGGCAGGACACAGGCACCACCTCTCAGGTGTTCATCTCTCACAGGGGAGGCTACATCACACAGTGAGGGACAGACAGAACTGTGTGCAGCTCTCAGGTGCTCAGAGATAGCTGGATTAGTTCACCTGGAAGACTGGCCTTAAGTTTGCTCCTGCTAGAGGAAGTGTAACTCATTATCTAGCAAGAGCCACAGACTGTGATCATAGGTCACAATACATACCCAGCACTTGTAAGACATTCAAAGCTCCCCTCAGATAAATAACATGCTTTAGTGTCAGGATTTGTGTGAAATTCCCCATCACATGCTTCCCCATCTCTTTTCTGTGTGAGAGTTTGTGCATTCTCACTAATCACCTACAGCAGAATCCAAGTCCTTTAGCAAGAACAGGCATGGAAACAACTAGTCTGCTAAACTTTCTGGGGGCTTGCTGCTCATGCTGTGCAACAGGGACATGAGTTTGAAGATAATTAGTGACTTAATCATTGATTTGAATGCTGGTGATGACAAAACAGCATGCTTAGGCAGCTAAAGAAACACCAGAGCATCTAAGGTTTATCATTTACTGGCTTGATACAGAAAGACTTTTCCATTCTTAGGCAATATAACCTATACATCTTTGCTCTAGCAAAATTGCTGTCAAGCCTCCTGAAAATTTGCCGATATAAGAAGCACAGAGAGAGGCCCCTGTATATAAAATATTATTCTACAAGAAGACACTATTTGGTTTCCTCAGCCTTGCACCAGTGTGATAGCAGCCCTACAGCCGCAGAACTGAAAGCTTCTCCTTTTTTGACTCATTTATAATATACCTTGAACTATAGAAAATAGTGGTTTCCCAAAACCATTAATGAAAATCACGTGCAGCTAATCTCTCTGTGGCCTCACTTCCCCTGCACACATCCCCAGACTCTTGCAAGACATTCTTCCTTTATCCTCTGTCCAGATGTTATCAGTTAGTGAGTGCTATGCACTAGTGACTGTGAGGAATGCTGGAATGGATCCAATGAGCAGTTGTATACATTTAGCTGAGACAGAACCAGCTTCAATTTTATTATTTAAAGAACTGAAAAGGCTCCAGCTGTGTTCCCACACATGAATTTCATGTGCCAAGTTGGCCTTCTAAGATGCTTGTATGGTGGTGAGTCATGAATTTTGTGTGTGCAATGCACTATGAAACATGTTATTTGCTTAACAAGCTCACAGAAATTTTGACATCTTTGCTCCTGTATTTCATATTTGTATTGCACACAAAGAAATCTCTAGGTGAATATTTTATAGCACTTTGCACTACCATGTTCCAGCTCTCACCACAAAGGGAACTAAAGCAAGACAATTTTCCCAGCTGTGGTCACTGAGATGGCCAAATCCTCTTCCCCTGAATTTCCCAAGAACATGTCAGGCTGCAGAGGAGAGCCTTTGGGTAAGTTTCATTTCAAAGAGTTAGACTTTGGGAGAATTACAAGTAAATTAAAATAGAGAAACGCTAACTGCAGTTGACCCTAATAGCTTGTATTATCCTTTAGAGTTCTGTGTTTTGTCTCACTGTGCCTGACAGCCTAGAGGCAACACTGGCCTGCATGGTGTGACTTTATGGACCTATCCAAATTCACTCCAGCTAAGGAGTTTTGTACAGAAATGCAGAAAACAAATATGTAGTTAAATCATCAAGATATGTAGTTAAATCATCTCCCTATCAAGTGCCACTTCTTTCCTACAAACACATACAGGGACAAGTTTAGCCATTAGCAGTATTCAAGCAGCTTCCATGGGAGTAAATAGAGTTCTGCTTAAAAAAAGGTGTCATATATGCTACTTACATATTTTCTAGGCATTTATTATAAAAAGGTCGGGGAAGGGTTTTCTGCCTTTTCTGGGTTGATCTTGTGAATAATATTTAAGCAGATCCTCACAGCTAAAATGTGTACCAAGTCCAGCTGGCAAAGACTTTTGAGCATCACAATAATTCCAGAACTAGTTTTTCTATGTTGAACTGGCCTGTCCCTGCAAAATTTACAAGTCCATTTGTGAAACCAAAAGCTTCAAGCAAAAATGGAATTAATCTAAATTTTTGCTTCAGAACACCTAGAACTACGGAAAAGTGTTGAGTGAGGGAGAGTTTACAGTGCAGCTCTGAGCTGCCTTGCTGAATCTTCACTAAGCTAAGAGTTTGCCAAGAGTCATCAGAGACCACAAGGACATGGACATAAGAAAACATGACAGTCATTTCCCTGGCAGAAACCTGCCCTTTCTCGCAGCCATTGTATCAGCTCTGCCTGTGTGCACCTATGTATTTGTCCAGGTAAAATGAAGAGCCTGACAGTTACGATAATGGAGAGTTTCGTGCCTGAGCCTTCACATTTGTGAAGATTTTTCCATTAGCACCCTGAATTGGGTTGAATTCTCCCTACCACTTCTTGTTAGGGAAATGGATAGTCATCAAGTAAGAACAAAACAAAATCTATTCTGGAATGAACGTAACTTCTTTTCCTTTCACAGACAACGATTGCAGTGCTGCCATGGTATTGTTACTCTGCTGCCTGAGGACAAAAGCCTTTCTTTCTGGTCTTCTATTTCTGTTTACCACATTTCATTGCCTTTGCCTGCTTTTGTATTTACACAGCCTAGGAACACGGTATTTTCTTGTTGCCATATTCTATTTTGCAAGTTTTTAGAAATATTGAGGTGCGTCCTGGGTAAGGAATAGCAATTAGTTACAATATCTGTTTCAAGAAGGTGCTCTGAGCCTCTCATATGTTTCCAAGATGGTGCTCAATAAATTCTCCCCATAAATAAATGGTGATAGTGCACTGATCCCATGAATGTGAAGAAAGGACATTGAGGAAAGTCCAGAAGAGAACAGCTCCAAGAAGAGCAGAATTTCACAACCTCATTTTCAAGGCTTGGACTAGGATTCAGTGTCCCTGTTTCTATTCTCAGCAACACTTCAGACTCAGACTGTGAAATGCCTTGGTGAATCACTCAGTTTATCTGTGACTCAGGGTTTTCTCTGAGAAAAAAAAAAAAAAAGAGGTTAAAATACTTACCACTGCTTGCCAAGTGCTTTGGCATTCTGAGGGAAAGGGCACTCAGAAAATTCAAGTATAAATGTATAAATGTTTGTAGTGGACAACTGGACAATACCCAAAGGATTCCATTACAGTTTGAGCCCCAGGACAAGCTGCAGATAGTTGGGACCTCTGTTTCTTTGTACAGAGGTACTTTATGCCAACCATCTTCAGGCGTAAAACATCTGAATGAGATGCTACATTCTACTTATCAGTGTCTGAACAGAATTGGTTTGCACTTTGCATCTCTTCAGAGAACAACCGGAGTACATTTTAAAATAAATTTCATCTTCCTATTATTTTGCAACAGGGCATTAGAGGCTAATCCTTGTCGCACAGTTATCCTGTACTGTATTGTAGGAACACTGAACTGCAATACAAGGGGCAGAGCAAGGAAGCATCTCATGATTTTCTGTGAAAGAGCTGATAGTATGGGATTGGCTGTATGAACAAAGATCAAAACTTACAGCATTGCCATTTATATAACAGGGACTATTCTATAAGGTTCTATCTATACCAAAAATTTAATTCAAAAGTCTGCAAGTCCCTAAAGTGATGAGAAAGTTCAAGAAACAGAGACACATTCACAAACAGAAATACAAGATTAGCTTTTAGCCTGAAGATGCAGTTTCACAATGGGTGAAAGCCACCCTGAAACTGTTCTGCCACTGACAGGGACTGACTGGCTTTGACCTCCTGACCCCATAACACCATTTTTCTGCAACTTCCTTTGTGTCAGCACTAGTGGTCATGCAGTGAACAGTCTGATCAACTTTGATGTTAGTGCTGCTTGGAGCAGGGGGTTGGGCTTTATGGTCTCCACAGGTTCCTGCATTGCTGTAACTTGTGCAATGGAAAACTAACCACTACATTTTTTGCAGTCTGTTCATTGAGTTTTCAAGGAAAACCACGACTCCTACACCAAACAGACTGCCCACCACAGTGCAAGGGGGAAGCACATTGCTGGAGGATGTGTGTGTGGCAGAGCAGGACGTCACAGGTGTTGTGGTCTCAGCTTGCTTTAAGCCAATAGTGAAGCTGAAACTTGAGTTAGCAATAGTATGTTAAGAGCTAGCATGGTTTGGGGGGGCAAAGTACAGATGTCAAACCAGCATGGTAACAGGAAGATGATCTTCCTTGGTAAGAAAAGAAGAGTGCTGGGGAGCAGAGGAGAACAGGGACCTTGGTGTGACCTAGTGCTAGTATACCTAGAAAGCAAAATGGTCAGGCTACTGGCTATCCTAATCTTTCTGTTGACAAAGCAGTTTATTGCATGCTCTTCATGCAAGTTAGGTTATTTTCAAGGCTTTTTGCTAAAGGTTCCCCTTTTAAAAAAACCCTAAAGTTCCAAAAGGACAATCCCTTCTTGCCACCAAGCTGGTCTCCAAGATGCAGTGTTCCAAATTAGCTTCATTCATGTCCATTTTGCAGGAAACAGCTATCTTGGTTAAAGGCATATGCTAGCCACAAATCAGAAACTTTCAGTAAATTCCAAACAAGAGGCAATGTTCAACTTTTATAGTTAGTAGAGGACAAGCTAGAAAGTGAATTAGCATCTATGTAGAGGGGAAAAAGCAAAAACTCCACAAATGAGTCAGTGTCACTAATGAATCCTTAATTTTGCAAGTATCTGATTGAAACTTGAAGGATTATTACCCATTAAATCCAAATATTCCCATTAGAGTATATGCAATGTAAAACAGGTTCTCATGCTCACATTGCAGGCTTGCAGAGACTACCCTGACTTGGGTATTCAAGAATTAGCAATGTAAGACACACTGAGAAACAGTATAGAAATGCAATCTGTAGATAGGTCTTAGGAAGAGAAGCCTGATTTTTTTTTGATTCACCCTTGTTTGTATGTTTGCAGTGACACATATTTCACATTCATTTCTAACAGCTGGGCCTACAAGGCTGACACTGCACATCAAATGCAAGTCTTTGAAAATTAAACATGACCATGTGGACAAAACATTGGTGTGTGTCTGAAAGCAGCTGCTCATGGCCTACCTACTACTGCTGGTCTGGTAATCTTTGGTGATGCTCGCTTTGGGGAAGATTCAGGATGTGGAGCAACAGGCTGCACTGGCCGGGTCTGTTTGGCTGCCAGTTTCTTCAGACTTACTTGCCTCTTGTCAAACATTTCTTGTACATCTTCAAGTTTTTGTACAATTCTTTGGGCATTGGCCTTGCAAAGAAAAGGCAAACAACAAATGGTTGTCAGTGCTGGACTGAGCAAGTTAAGAAAGGACTTGTGTTACCAGATTCAGACTAGAGTGGAAGATAACACCATGCTGTAGTTAATGCAATCCAGTCCATGGGTTCACAGATCACAGTTTCACTGACCAGGACATGGTGTCTCATGCAGTCTTTCTAGCACTGCTCTGAAGAAAATCATGTATGTGTTCCAGAACTGCCCATCTGAGTAAAACTTATGGC